TTATACCTTAGTTACTGGAGTGCTGTTATCTCAACCCATGGGAGTTACATTCCTCCGATTCTCCTCCCCATCCCTCCGGGAGCAGGGGAAGAAAGAAAGGGGGGGAGTGAGCGAGGGGCTGCGTGGTTCCGAGTTACCGGCTGGGCTTAAACCACAACATACTGAAATCAGGAGTGATGACCAGCTGAAGGTCTCTCTATAGAAGAGTGCTCCTAGCAAAGTGCATAGAGCTTTAACCATTCACATCATTAAAGATAATCAATGTACGAGTGCTCTGCTCTACTAGGCCTGCTTCCAGCACTGTGACCAGCCAGAACTATTTCTGGTTCTTCACCTAAATTAGGAAAGCATTCTGCTTTCTACTGAAATTGTTGGCAGTTTTATAATTTCCTTGTCCCCACTGGCTGGACATCAGAACAGTTCCCTCTTGAAACTTGTCAGTGTTTATTTAGTTCACCTTGGTCCTCAAGATCCTCCCAAAAATGGAGAAGATGTTCTCTAACTGCAAGCTACTCATTCTGGGAAACGCTTTGTCTCTACAGATGCTGGTTTGTGCTCTGCTGATGTACCTCACCTCTCATGGGAGGTCTTAGTACCACTGCGGGATTAGCTGTGGTGTGGTTGAAAGTGAATACAAGGACATTTGATTTTTATTCATTCCCAACCAGAGTAATATAGCGTTCCCTTGCTTCTCACTTCTCACCAAGAAGGTGACTTTACCCACTTTCCAGTTCATGTCTGCACCACTGAGAACCGGCCCCTGGCCCAGTCTTTAGAAGAGTTACACTGCAGCTGGAGAAGTAACTGGGTGATTCCAAACCACCCAAGAGCAGCACAGGGAGCACTGCCCCCTTCTTTCTGTTCAACAAATGCATGTCGAGCACATAACATTAATTAAGATATACTGTACCTCCGGCTGTCTGCATCTTGATGTGTTTATTTCCTTCTAATCTTAATTAAAATACAAAAAATAAAGGTGGTTAAAACATTGTAATGTGTTACCAATTCAGAGCACCATTTTAAAAAAAGCATGCAACAAAGGTACTACTATTCCAAAAGCAGCCACTATTATTTTGGTTAATACTGTTATTGTTCTTCAATTTTTTGTTTTGTAGCAAATTTTGGAAGCACCACACAGTAACTAAACTGTGCTGTATGAATCTGACAACAGTATTTTGCTGTATTAAATCTAAACAATATTTCATTATTTCATAATTATATGTTTACGACTTGTCTATTAAGTACCTATAATCCTAATGCTTTTTCCCGCTGTTCAAAAATATCACATGGAAAAGAAACAGTTTCCCCTGGGTTTCTTATAAGAACAAAAATAAATCTGAAAGCAAGCACTTACTAACTGTTATTACTGGAATTCACCACAATGCAAGTAAACACCTTCAAAACTAAAAATAGCACGATGGCTCTGCAAGAGCATCTCTCACAGCCTCTTAGTCCTAACAGGATTTTGTTTTCTTTGAATTCACAGAGCACTCAGAGCATGGAGAAGCTGTTCAGAAGACAATGGACCACACTGTCAGCATCTGCTCTAGGATCCTTCTGCAAAAGTGTGTTAGATTTTAAACAAATGGGCACAATCACTTTAACGATTATAAATAGCCCCACTGCCTAAAGAGGCTCCAAGGCTAGCCAGCCTGTCTGGAATAATAATTGATTTTTAAAGGAAATGCATCCCACTAGATTCAAATTAAACTGAGAAAGCAGGAGAAATGCAATACACGACCTTCCAATACCTTTCGGTGCAGCTTTTGTCTGACTGGAAACCATGGCAGGCGCACCGACGGCAGGCCAACATAGACGCCACCGTAGTTCCTGATTTAAGGAAACAAAGAGACATCAGAGTTTAATCGTACAATGCCAACATCCCACAGCAGCATTACCAAGACCATGGATAGTCGGAGAGGGCACCTCTGCATGAGTATCCACAGAGAAGCCCTCCCTTCCCATCACTATGGGAAAAGTGCCACTAAGTGCCATACGCATGCTAATATGGCACCAGGCCGAACAACCTTGAGGCTCCCTGTCACTCTTAAGGAAGGACCAAAGCCTGTGAAAGGAGCTATTTTTTACTCAGTTTCCTGACATTTTTCATTAAATCGCATTAAAACTATCTTGTGACAATAAACCCCACCTGCCCAGCTTCTTCCAGATGCCGAATATACCCAACTGGTGAGAGCCAATCTGATAGTGATGTTTGGCACTGCAACCACCGAAGCACCTCACTACAAACAATGCACACCAGTTAAGCAGCTCGGACCTCTCCTCGTTAATAAATAAGACTTGTATCCCCCTGCGTAGGGTCACACTTGGAGGAAAGTCTCAGCAGGACGCAGCACCAGGGCATTAGGTCACT